AAGAGCTGGTGCTGGAGATGCAGGACAGCTGCCTTTTGGAAAGCCTTTGTATGTCTCTGGGCTACAGCACTGAGGCTTTATTTTCTTTACAGATATCCTTGATAACAGCCGTGTTATCAGCGAAGATGGCAAGAAGGAGGTAGGTGCTGCTGCTTGGCTGGGTGGTTTTCATTGCTGTCACCCATCATCGAGGGCTGCGCTGGCTCGGTGACAGCTCGTGGGGCCAGTGTCCAGGCTGCAGTTCAGGCAGTGGTGATGGAAGGAGAGGTTAAAAAGGGAAATTTAATTTGCATGCTCAGCTGCAGGTGTTCTCGCCCTGATAAGAGGAGGAAGGGGGTGTCTGTGTGTGTCTGTACGAGCGGTGTTTGAAGGAAGGCGAGGGCCAGCCGGGCTGCCAGGGGGGGTTGACGTGTCCTCCCGAGATCTCCAGGTTTGCTCAGTGAAGTTGCTTAGTGAAACAGTTTGGGTTGTGTTTTTCATTAGGAAGTGTGATGCTTCGGAGGAATTTAGAAATGCTTTTTTTGTTATTTATGGTTGCTTTAGACGTGATGCTCGCTCTGTTCTCTTTCTGTCTGTGCAACGCCCCAGCTGCAGGATCTGCTCCACTATTACTATCCCATTGAAATCGATCCCAACCGGACCCTGGAAGAGAAACTTCCCCTCATGGTGGAGTGGTGAGTGCTTGTGTGTGATGAGCTTGACCCTGTCCTGGCAACTTCTTGCACCTGAGTACTGGGAGACACAAGGCTTCAGCTGCCCCTAGGCTCGGCAGCAATACTGGGAGGTTTTTGTTGTTATTTTTCCGAGTGCCTCAAGGCTGCTGCCCGGGCAGCTCACTCTCTGCCTTTCCCCAGGTGGACCAGGGCCCATGAGCTGCTGTCGCAGCAGAAGATCCGGAAGGGTGACATAGCCCAGATCGTCAGGGAATCGGACGTGATGCTGAGGTACAGCCTTGGGGTCTGCCTGCCTGCGGCGCGTTCGCTCCTGTCGCTGTGTGGGCAGGTCTCCTCGCTTTCACCCTGGTCTGCACGTGGTCATGCAGATCTCTCTTGCAGAGATTTTTCTCTCGAAGCACCGTAACTGCTGGGCTTTATCCAGGCCCAGGTCTCCCCAAACACACGTGTGAGCTCTGCGGGCGCCTCACCACTGGTCATACAGCGCCGTGTAACGAGCGCCTCTACTCTAGGGATGGGTTCAAGGAGTTGTTCGATCAGCTGCACAAGTTCAATGTGCCCCTGTTCATCTTCTCTGCCGGCATCGGTGATGTCCTCGAAGAGGTTATCCGCCAGGCCAACGTCTTCTACTCGAACGTCAACGTGGTGTCCAACTACATGGATTTTGATGATAACGTGAGTTTTTGCATCACGTGAGCTTGCAGAGAGAAGGGTTGCTTGGCTGGAATTGAGGGCTGCGGTACGCTTAGCAGAGACATGGGTGGGTTAAAAGCTGCCTGTTGGCGTTTCCAAGTTCTTCGCCCTTTGCTGGGCCATGGGGAGGGCTCCTGAGGCAGGTCCCACCTCCCAGCCCATTTGCTCTGCCTCCAGGGGCTGTGACCTGCTGCCGTAACAGCCCTCTGAGCAGCAGCACCGTGGGGTTTGGAGGTTCCCCTGTCCTCACCGGGAGCTGAGAGGGGACAGAGGACAGGCGAGGCGGGAGGCAGAGCGCAGCAGCAGCTCAGCATCTGCTGCCGTCTGGGGGACTCCTCGCCTTTCAGACCTGCGGTGGTGGGAAGGCGCTGCTGTGTGTGTCCAGCGCTGCCCGCTCCCTCCTGGCGCGGGGTGAGGATGGGGTTAACTGACCACAGAGGCCTCTCCTGATCTGAAGGCCAGATGTCCTTTCGAGCAGCTTGGAAGGCTTTTGCTGATGTGCTAAAGCCTGAGAAGTCCCAACGCGTGTTGGAAAATTGCACGTCTCTTACAATGAAGGCCTCTGTTCCCACGGGCGATGTGTTGGCACAGGCAGTCCTCGGGGGAGCACGGGACAGCGTGGCAGCCCTGCCTGCTGCAAGCGCCCTGCTCTGCCCAGGAACAGCCCCTACCGTGCCTTTCCGTGGCCCGCAGGCAGCGCAGAGCCCCAGGCGAGATCTCCGGGGTCTTCATCCTTTGGGAGTGCTCAGCATCTGCGAAGGGGGCACTCCTGGGACTGTCTCTGGGTGCTTCGTGGCTCCTGGGTGCCCAGACTCCTTGGAGATGTCTCCGAGCTGACGGCTGGTGCCCCGTGAGCATCTCACACTGAGACTGCAGCACAGCGGGATTGCAGCAGGATCATCTATCTGTCTTGTTTGCACAGGGAATCCTCACACGTTTTAAGGAACCTCTCATCCACACCTACAACAAGAACAACAGCGTCCTTCAGGGTACAGAGTATTTCCAGCAGCTGAGCGCTAGGACGAGCGTCATCTTGCTGGGGGACTCCATGGGTGACCTGACGATGGCAGATGGCGTTCCCAGTGTGGAGAACATCCTCAAGATCGGCTTTCTCAACGACAAGGTGGGTGTGAGGCGCGGTTGCCTTGCTTCTCTGCCAGCCTTCCCCGGGTGCTGAGCCTGGGGGGCAGCAGAGGGGCTGGCAGCTGCCTAAGTGATTTGGGGGTGGCGAAAGATCCATGTGAGCTCCCGCGGGGTGTGCGGAGGCGGCTGGGGGGTCTCTGGGTGCATCGTCAGGGTGGTTATTGACCCTTCTTTCTGGTTCCATCAAGAGATGCCGGGGCTGTGGGTGCAGCACCTTCAGTCTCAGCTGCTGGTGTTTACAGTCCTCTCCTCTCTCTGCGGCCTCTCTGCCCATCCCGGTGGCTG